GGTTAAAAGATGTTTGACCTTAAATCTAACCATGCCCACCCAGCATCTGTCTGTCTTGATGCTCCATGCATAGTTAAATTATAGGAACAGTGATGATGTTTTTGGTTAATTACAAGTTACAACCTATAATGAGGCTATTCTTATATCGTCCTCGTTCGGCCATTAATTAACCCACGATTAACTACCAACCATTACTGCACAGTCAAGTCTCAGGATGTCACCCCCACCCCACAATGCGGACAACCCGACCCTCCTGCAGGAGCCGCTGGAGGGCTCTCCTGCATCCAAAGTGGCAGCCTCGCTGTGCCCCGATGACCAGTCCCCAGCGGACGATGCGCAAGACACCGTCACCGATGTCTCCATGTCTCAAGACGAAGACACTGACAGTGATGAAGCCGACCGTGCCATCGGTCTGACCTTGTTGACCCTGCCTCCCGAGCTGCTGCTCAACATTATCTCCTTCCTGGATGCCAGGGTGGTTATTCGCCGCCTGAGCTTGGTCTGCAAGCACCTGCACCGGCTGATTGCCAACGATGCCACCTGGAAGATTCGCATTAGCAAACGGTGGCCAAAGCAGTACCCAGTCGTACCAGGTAAGTTTTAATGGACACATAGCGTGATCAGGATGAGTTCCAGAAAAATGTAAATAAAGTCCTCAACTTTATAACTCTGAGATCCTACAAAATCCTGTGAGGCTTTGAAGATTTTCTTCAGACGGGATTAAATTCCTCATTGCAGTTAAAGTAAATGGAAAATATGCAGATTGAAAGAATTTTGAGGACTGTAGGCAAGCATAAAGCTAGAACCAATTTTTTGTTGGGAGGGGCAAAAAGTGAGATTTCCTGATGTAACTTTTATGGCCTTGAGTAACCTTTACTAATTTATTCATAAGGCATAATCGGTGAGGGAATTTCTTCCGCAGTTGACGATGATAAGTTCAACTGGCAGTTTGCTTGCTTGGAACGCGAGGAGCAGTACAGACGATGGTCAGAGCCATCTAGAATGGAGCACTTCAAGTTGACATCAGGCCACTTTGCAGAGATTGACTCGGTCCATCTGATGCAGGTCAGTCGTCAAAAGTCAATGCGAAGGGGTCTTTTTGATCCCGGTTCTGTGTGGAGCATTGCCTTTGTCATGACTTTCAGTCTATGCCCAAGAAACTCTTAAAGCACGTTGTAAATATTGCCGATCATCGGGCCTTGAGCTCTGCCATCTCAAGCTCAGCATGGATTTGGATAACCTGGTCATCTTAATTACCATTCGCTTTGCATCATTCCAAACAGAAGACATTTTGTTGAAAGAACTATTCCATTTCTTTTTTTTTCTCATTTTCAGGGCGGTGACCTATGTGTGTCAGGGTCCAGGGATCGCTCGTTCCACCTGTGGGACATCAGCAAGCTGAATGCAAGAAATTATGAGGAATCTGTGGAGGCTTCCAAGCTGAAGTCTGTTGATGACCACAAGGTAAGCTTCAAGAATCTATTCAATGGAAGTTTCGTCTAAAGATTTCTCTCATGGGAGGCCATCTTTGGTGGAAAATTACAACTAGTTATTTAACATCATCAGGTGCTAGCGGTGTGCAAATGATACACTCGCATATTGATCCAGATATCTTCGACATTTGATGTCGGTAAGAGGCGATGTCATTTGAGAGAGACCTATAATGGAGAGGTCAACTTCTATGTGTATACCCCTCGAAAACTTACCCACTTACGTGTAGTTCTGTTACTGTCAGGGTCATTCATGACTCTTTTTTTTTCATTTCTTGAGGCAAGTTCAAGCGAAAACTAACCGGTTCATAAGTGTGACGTCACTTCAGTTTAAACCACGCCCACTACACATGCACTTGACATAGAGTTGCATGTACATGCATTGATCGCTGTTTACATGAAACCACGGAACCCGTAGTTAATGCCCAACTTAATGCCCAGCGATCGTCCAACGGGAGCCTGCGAATTGTGGCGAAGTCACTTACAAACCGGATAGTGATCTTTAGTTCAACCAATGTTGCGCAAGTGATGAATGGCTTAATCCATCCAATCAATCATTTGGAACAATGGCACAGTCACAGTGCTGGTTGTCAATGTCTAATTTAATCTGATTTGATTTAATTTAATCTTGAATCAGTACTGGTTGAACCATTTACATTAAATTAATTGTGGGAGATGTCGTTGAGCATGAGATTCTCTAGAGCTGCAGCCAGCAGCAAAATTTGAATGACAAGGAGATTTTACACAATAGTTGATGGCATCATGCCTCATACATCTTATTATGCATCGATTATGACCAACAGGGTCAGGATGATATCTCAAACTGACTTCACTTGTAGTTGTTGGACTTGATAAATATTCAGTGATATTAAAATGTATGAATATTCACTGTTTAGGGATGGGTGTGGCACATCACATCACAGGACAACATCATTTGTACGTCGTCATGGGACCAGTGGATAAAATTATGGGATATCAATGCCGACTGTGGGTTCGTACAGGGATTTAGGTAAGGAGCCCATAGCCTTCTCCATAACAAGTGGCTATTATGAAATTTGCTGCAAAATAAATGCTTGTTTGTAATGTGCCAGGCACTACCTGTGTAACTTGAATTTTTCGATGACAAGATTTTGGATGAAAGAGCTTGATTGTTTGTTTGTCTATTCCTCGGACATATTGCAGGGGAAGTTCTGCCTTCTTGTGCTCTGTGTTACATCAGTATGAAGTCCATGCCGGTGCTTACGATAAACACGTCTACGTGTTTGACAGAAGAGGTGAGATACGAGCACGAATGTTACCGATGTGCGGTAGCGTGTCTTGGAATTGCTGAAAGTGGGCTGCAGTTGCAAAAGCAATGTATGGAGAGCCCAGAAATTTAAGGTGATGAAAATGTGCAAAGCAGGAAAGTAGATGGGGCAAGAAACAATCTGTCCGACACTACTTCAGTGCTGCATGAGAATGTGTTTCAGAAAGAAAATGGCACTATATCTGTTTTTGCACACCTTCCCTCTACAAGGGCAGATCTTAATACCATTTTGGGGGGGAGGGGTACCAAAAGTGATTTTTTTTATGTAAGGCTTTATGGCTTTCTAAGGGGTAAAGCTAAAGTTGAAGGTTTTTTCAGGAGTGAAAGGGAAATTAGGTAGTCCTAAAAAAGGCCTGTCTTCTCATTAGTCCTGAAAAGTTGGGTCCGCCAAAGCCCATCCGCTGTCTCAACCAACAGACTACGAAATGATCAGAATTTTAACAACATTGCTTCGCTGCACAACTCTGCGTTCTAACTGGCAGATCGTCACCAAGGAAGCACCAGCAAGCTGCGATTGCACAAGATGCCAGTACTGTGCTTAGCCTCCGACAACGATTACATCATATCGGGAAGCGAGGACAGGACGATAGCCGTATTTGACCGCCGGGCTGGGAAAATCCTAAAAAAAATTGAGGTGAACAAAAAAAAAAAGACACTAGATCCACAAAAGGGCATCTTTCCAGAACATTTCTGGACTTGTTTAAGTATGTGAGACTGCAGAAGTTTCACCGTACATCTGCATAAAGTTGGAAGGCACCAATATGGTGTGGACGAAGTTTGTTATACATTGCAAAATGCAGGGGAAGCCATGTCAAAATTACTAGGAAATGGACACAGCCAGAACCTTGAGGCTTCCATGGCCATGTGCATTATTTCTGGCCATAGTCAAGTCCTTTGGACATAGCCAGCTGCTCACTTGCTGCAGTGCTGTTACTGTTTAGCTGAACAATGCCCTCAAGTTTTGTATTAAGGCTTTCTGCTCTGAATGAAAGCGCCCGTTCACTGGCATTCACTGGCAAAGAAAAGAGAGGCAGGTGGGGCATTTTTTTTTCCAACCGGTGTCCCTAACATGTCAGTTAAATGTGAAAGCAGTCACGCAAACCTGTGTGTCCCCACCAGAGGGACGCCCTTGATACTTGAGAGCTTGTTCATCTCTTGTTCCTGGATGGTGCAGAGAAATCAGATGAGGACGTGCCAAATGACTTATCATTTATCCCCTTCTGTTGGGCTTTGTCACTGGTCATACAGCTGGAGAAGTTCCCCATGTGCATGTCCTACGGCCTGGGTCAGCTCTGGGTGGGCAGGAAGGATGGCCAAGTGACCGTCATCGACCCCACCCAGGGGAAATTTGACATAGTACAGGTACGTTCACAGATCGTTTTGATTGTGTTACCTTCATTGTTGCTTTTAGCCTGTAATGCTGGACGCACTTCTTAGGAGGACCCCCACCCCTCACTTCATTAGTGTAGGGCTACTTCTGTGGTCAAGAACATTTTGAGCCTGAAAAACTAATGCATACCTCAAGTATTGCGTTCAAAAAAAGCTGGCAAACAAAACACTGAAAAAAAAGGTTTGTTGTTTTCCTGGTTCCAAGTACTGTGATTTTTCTCAGAGGCAGTTGTAACGAGCATTTGTGCAAGAACATCAATTTGTATTCATTTAGAGTTGACGACTCTGACATTTTAGAGAAGTATTTCTTTGACATAGTCCATGCTGACTTTGATCAGTGTGTTGACCTTTTTTGGTAAGGATGTGTGAAGTCAATGACAATATATTCACACTGAAGCTTGTTCAGTAAGTTATGTGTGTAGATTGTTCAGTTTTCCTGTGAGTTGGTAATGGATGACACTTTGGTTCTTACAGACATACGACGTCGGGCATACGAGCAAAGTAACTGGTATCCTGCACAACTTGGGAGCCGTCATAACCTGTTCAGTAGATAACAGTATCAAGGTGGGTACATGCTTTCGGGTGAGTAGATTTCAGGATGGGCAGCTAGGCAGACTGACCTATTGAGTTCTGATGTAATTGCAAACAAGTGCATTGCAAACAAGTGGAATTCGTAAGACTTGAAGGTTTTCATGGTGAAAGAACTATAGGAGTAGAACGATTGCGATCACACCATGGATCAATCTCTTTCTTGAGTATGTGTGGGTCTGAGAAGAACTGGAGAATAACTCGACGTTTTGAACAGTGTACTCCGTCCGTCTTCTGGAGACTGCAGGATTCTGACTGGGAGTGGAGCTTATATGGTGAAGACAGGGATCTAGCTATTCCCCGGTTCTTCTCAGAACCACACATACTCAAGAAAGAGATTGGGCCATGGTGTAACCTCAGTCGTTTTACTCATGTGGAATTCTTGTTTTTAAATTTAACAGTTAGGATTAGTTGATCAAAATCAATGCTTCCACTGAAGAAAGTATTAGGGAGCCATCCAATTCCCAGCTGTGACAATCTTGAGTGGTTTAACATCTCATGCAGAAATCGGCTTTGGCAAGACTTTTCTTAAACCTCCATTCTGAACTTATGAAATAATCATGGGACTGGAAATTTGCTTTTTGCGCTTTGGAACATTGCATATTTTCTGATTCCTCTCAGATTCATGAGCCAAATCATGATCCCTCCACCATCCACACCATCGAGCACACATCGTCGATTTCCTCCATCCACTTGAAGAACGACATCCTGGCGGCAGGCGGCAGTGACCTGTGCGTCAACATCTGGAGGCCGACACCAGATGAAGACTGAAAATGATCCCGCTCTGGCTAAGCAGCGGAATGAGACAGCAGTACTTAGCTGACGTGTCTGTCTAGGTCTCAGTTGGCCTTCCGTGGTATTTACACAACCCTTGGCTTTCATGTATATTGTCAGGGATGCATGCCAGTTTTCAGGCAAAAGCTGGATTTCAGGTTTTTTCATTTCCAATGATTGGTCTACTCTCAGGCCATAAGCAACGTATGTTTAGGTTTCTCTGGCCGTATTTTCAGGCTCGGGACTAGGAACTTATGTAGTGGCATCCCTGTATTGTGGCCTTGAAGTTGTCAAAAAGAGAGAATTACTCTTAAGACTGGTTCGTAAGCAGCATGACGCAAATGTGAATTTGTGATGTCGCATCCACTTTCATGTACATGTAGCTCATTTCATCATCGGTAGAGAGGCAAGCATTTACAATTAGCGGTTGATTCTTGGGTATTATATGGGCAGTGTGTCTTCTGCCTGCTCAATTTGGACAGTTCACTGGTAGTCCACCGTGGAATTAGTTTGGCAAGAGGCTGTGAGTTTTACCAACACAGCCGATATTAACAAAGTATTCGAGGGGACACTTCATGCATGAGATGCTGAGTTCCAAGAAAACATCTCACAGTCTGTTGAAAGAACTATCACAGTGTCAGAGCTGCCGGAAAACTCTAACAAGCCGTGTGTTGTGTCTCTGCGCATGATCTCTGTAATGCTAGCAGAACTCGGGTTGCATTTGTTCTCTGCAGATGATACAACTGTCTTTTGTCACACATGGCAGAAATTTACAGGCGTGTTGGATATTTGGCAACGGCATCAGTGACAAAAGACTATGGTAAAATTGACCGAGCCTGTGAACTTTCTGCCTATGCAGCTGGTCATGAGTGAATTTTGTGTAAGTTACCTCGAGTGTGGCATGCTTGATATGAAATGTCAGCTGTATACCTAGCACAGTACTGTTCTTGGCAAATGCATGTGTTGTGATACGTGCGCTTGGTGTACATCTACATTCCAGTCTTAGCTCATTGCAGATAATGTACGTGCTGGTTTTTGTAAACCCAATTTTTTGTGCCGGGTAATAACGTTAATTTTAATAATTGCATTTTGCTCTCCACTATTTTGTGATCACATGACACATTACGCAATAAAAGGGGGGCCAGCCATGTTTTTAGTGTTTCCCCTTTGGTTTTAATTTTCTATATTTCAACACCCAAATCTGTTTATGGGTAATTCCAGAAATTAGGGGTCCAAAAGCATGACGTTTTTCTGTCCCTGTTACATCTAACCTTTGTTATTTGACATGAAAATACCACGGGCATTGATTTCAAACTATTACTATTTGTTTGGCAGGTAATTTACATTAATTCATCACTTTCGGATATTACAAGTGTGTTCTGAACTTACACAATCATATGTCAGATGTGACAGGGACACCAAAAAAATGGACCCCATATTTCTGGAATTACCCTGATACTTCTGAGTCAGCATGCAGGCTGTAGTTTGAATGAAACAGTAGAGCAGGGCTGTGAAAAAAAAAAACATGTCATGCTTTTGGACCCCTAATTTCTGGAATTACCCATAAACAGTTTTTGGGTGTTGAAATATGTTCTTGTGAAGTTGTCATTCCCTTATCCAATCAAAACTGGACAGAACCAAATTTATTCATCAGTTTTGACATTACAATGGACATTGGCTTTATTTCAAAATGGGAATAGCTTCCTAATCTCAAAAAAGTTATCCACACACGAAGAGCAGGTTGTTCAGTGCCCACGGCATCACAGAAATGTAAAATCATCTCTGCAAATGTGACAGTAATGGACTAGCCTCCTTTACTGTGCCTTGAGCTCTATTTTCTTTGCTTCAGACCTGTCAAGGAGAAAGAAATTCTTCAATTGGCTCTCAAAACCCATAACTTCATATTTACTCAAAATGCCCCAGCTTTACATAACAGAGGGTGCTGAAGTCAGAAACATTGGATGAAATATGTGGATTGGCAAAGTAGACTTTGAATGTTAGGGGAGTATTTGATAATATTGTATTCATGCAGACCCTTCCTTTGTTTACAAATGCTGATCCCCAAGTTTGTTTGGGTTGCCAAAGTTTTCAGAAATTTCACTCCTGATTGGTTAAGCTCTTAGCGCCAAATGCCCATTCACTCCATTAGTGTCAGCGCCGCAGGAGGTATTTCCATTTGCATGTAGTAGGGTTACTTATTATGCAGTTTTTAGCAGCCAAGTGAGATTTTAATACCTGTGTGGATTATTATTATTATTTGGTTAAAGGACCAGACAAAGTTTGCCTACCACCCAGCTGTGTGGCTAATGGGGGGGGGGGATCGCACACCCCCCTGAAAACTTGTCGCCCCCTCCCACTTGCATTTCGGAAACAGTACACATGTATATCCTGATAATATCAAGATTATGTACATGTATATGTTCAACATCCAGTCAGCCCCACCCCCCACTTTAGCTTTGCAGGGAATGTAATTTTATCAGTGTGCTTTTTGCAATCGGGGCGTAAGCATTTTTTAAGTATAAAGTTTGGGCTCACACTTTCAATATTATATTTGGAATTGTTATTTATTTCAATGAAGTCTTAAATACAAGAACATAAAATCAATTTGTGTGACATGCCACTGGTATTACAAGTTGTTTCTCTAATTTACAGGTTCTGTCAATTCCTGGTATGGAAGGAACTTACAGATAATTCTCTCATTCATACATTTGTTACAAAGTGATTGTGAAACTAAGGGTAGTCACAATTTCAAAATTCTTGCATAAACCTAAATTTTCTTTAAGTAAGTAAGTATGCTGTTGGGTAATACCAGCATAGCACAGACAGTTGTTCCAAAAGTGTGTCCTGTTAAAAAAGTGTCATTATTTTATGTTTGCAGATGTCTGTGGAAAGTTTATATTGAATATTTTAAATCAAGTGTTATTTGTGAATGTACATATAGTGCCACTTGTCAATAAATAAAATGTATTATGCATGAAACCGACCACAAAACTTGTCCAGTTACTTCTTAGGTTTCTGTCCCTTGTTCAAGACAAACCAGAAATTACATGTACTTGTGAAGATCCAGATAAGGTGCATGTAATGCACTCAAATTGACAGAAATTACACTTTCTGTAATGAAATCTAGCAATCGGTTGAATTTTATTTTGAAGCATTCTTACAGCAAAACTATGACAAAATTTGCCAAATATAAATACTTTAAAGACACCGACCAATAAGAATTGCACAATCAAGATGGTCCAAGAAGTCGCTGTACTCCCTTTTCCTTCCTCATCCCCAACCCCAGCTCAATTAAAACATTTACCCAAGTGACATTTCAACCCCAAAAAACAGTTGAAATCCAATCACACTTTCCCAAACATCTTCCCATTCCCCCAATACGCACTTATTAAAATGTGATTTTCAGAATGGCAACTTTATACAAATATACTCTTTAAGATATATCTGATATTTGATAAATAAATACAACATGCATGTGGCTGTTAATGATGATACAGAGGTTCCGCATGGCAGCCATCTTTCCGGTAACTGCTTCTGTCCTGGAGGGATAGTACAAAAGGTCTATTCGTCTGTATCCCTGTGGAACAAAAGCTCTCACCAGAAAAATGGCTGCCATGCAGAAACTCTATAGCACTTTGGTTACTGAGCCCACTGCATCTTTCAGAATGAGGCTACCAGGGTGCATTGGCAGAAACAGTAAAACCAGCAAACTCCACATGATACATTGTTGACCCAAAGTGAAACGGAACCTCTGTCAGGCATTACAACAATACCTATATGCATGAAAATAACACTATCACACACCAATTCTGAGCACACTACTAATTCATCTACATATAGGTAGGTAGATTTATAAGTGTATTAATTCATAGTGATATATCTAATAAGTATGACTGGCAAACGGGTCCTTGTGGAACACAAGTGTACAGCATTATTCCAGGTTCCACAAGCGTGAGTTGGATGAGGAGTTTATCTCCACCGCCTTGATGCACAGCTCTGGACTGTTTTGGATAAGAGACAACAGTTGTTTACCCCTGGAGTAGTGCAATCAAGGATTGAACTTGGCGGATTAATATTTATGCACTCACACAACTTTCACTTTAAGACGATAAGTACTTTTAGTATTTCATACATGTACTTTTACAAGTTTGGTGCCATATCAGCAGGTGCACCGGTGAGACCTGACAGTGCGTCAGGCAACATGTGACCTCTGGTTGTTACTGGAAGTCCATATCTATCTCGCGTATGTACGCAGCACTGTCCTCAGCGGGCACGATGCTCTCAGTGCTTTCCTCTTTGACCCCTGAAAAGTTAACCAACAACACGACACTGAGAAAACGGCCAGCCTCCTACAAAACTGCACAATCCCCAAGTCAGAGAGCCTGGCAAACCAAAGCAGAGAGCACTTTTTTCTCTCTCTTTTGTGACCAGCCTAGCATCCAAGCTTGCTCCCCACCAATGGATCTACAATTCAATTTTGTTAAACAACTGTGACATAACATCTTCCTGTCGGCAAATCAAATCCTCAGTATGTACAGCATTTGTGCTCGAAATGATGTAATCAAACAGAGATGTATAAAGTACGTACATTCTGTTATTTCAGCCTGGGATTTCACGTATGCAGAAGTTTGCATGCATAAATGGTGCCAATAATGTCAGGTATACGTTGGAAAAAGCCTGAATTCAGGATGCTGCATGTACAACTTGCATCCCTGATCACAGTGTACCAGGCAAGATATGAGACAGAGGGGTACCCCCCTTACCTGTCCAATCCCTATACACACTCTAGACAATTGTTACCTAACACATCCCCCCTAGAAGTCTGTAAAGAATTCCTGAGATTCCGATCAAACAATGACCACTGAACACAAATATGGAGGGGTTCTCTCCAACCCATATCTTGCTTCAAATGGATCACAGTCCGAGGTAAATCAGTATTGTGGTTATTGCCGCTGTATTACACAAAACAATTTTTAACCAGTTAGGTGTGTACCATGGGAATTTTTAACCCTCTGCAAGACGCATGGCACACTGTATTTGCCCTTAATGGCATTCTTCCAAGGGTGTTCAAAATTCCTTGTTCCACACCAACATGATTTAAATCCACAAGTGTAAAGCAATGAAATGGGTGAAATGTGGCTCATCCATAATAAAGGAAAAGTAATGAAGCAATGGAAATGAACATGCAGACATCTGTGACGCTGCAATGGGCATTTGTCAGTAATCAAGGTTCCTCCTAACTATGCTCACTCAACATGGCCCTATAACCATGGTAATCAGGCTCTGTACCAAAACAAATAAATAACCCAACAAACAGACAAAACAAACTCACAACTGAAAAATGCAACTGTAGGACAGTGAAACCTCGACCAAAATATTTACATTTTTAATAACCAGCTCACATATCAGAGATTTTATACATCATTGACTACACCTGTGCAAAAATATTATTTTTTACACATACAGGATAAGGAAATTTTGAAAACAATTAAATACTAACATAAAGTTTGTGCTCCCCGCATTTTCTCTGTCTAAAATGACTGATAGAAAATAATCACATAACTTCCAGAATTGCCAAAATAAAGTAACCTTGCAAAATTGTAATAATTGTTATTGGGCACAGAGTTTTTTAAAATTGGCATAAGACGGTTTAAATACAACCCAATTGACATATACTTTAAAATTCAATGTTACCCGGCTTGAACACTAAAATCCTGTTTTTAATCTTATTCTATTCAGTGCTGTAGTCAAGACCTCTTCAGACTGCTGCATGACCCCATGCAAACATCATATGGCCCACACAAGACTTCCTGTCTGAACTCAAGTCATAATTTATTCAACTGAATTGCGAAAAAAGCATTCCTTAGTCAATGTTCACCCAGTGGCTTACTACTTGTCTTGTGACTGATCACGTGAGTGGGTTTTGTGTCTGGTCTCATGATGGTCTCGACTACAACAATAATACAGCCTATGACCTGTATACCTGAGACTGGAAAGTTTCACGTTATTTGTGGCTATGTCCAAATAACATGGCTATGGCTAAGAGTAATACATGCGACAATGGAAGCCACAAGTTGCTGGCTTCATGCATTTTTCACAGATGCATAGCCATCTAGCTAAGCCGTTCAAGTGGCATACATCTATTCAACCTGATGGAGGGGAACTTTTTAAAGCTCTATTTCTAACTTTTAAGAGGAGTTCAGCGCAGGAACTAAATAAAAAGCCCGTAACTGATGTAAAAAATAAAAGCTGACTTTGGCTACTTTGTATAGCTTTTTAAAAATTGTGTAAATGTAAGTACCCGTTGCTCCACCAAGCAGGTAGATTTGTGAAACTAATATTTAATGCCTAAATGCGGAGGAATAATTCATAGAGACAGAAGTCATTGAGGAGTGCATTCAGGACACGTAACATTTGTAACATTGTGCCAGAAAGGAGACAAATTTATGGAATGACTCATGTGTCCATACTTCGAAAAATTACAGTGATACTGTTTTTAAGCAGAAGTGCTAAACCACATGAAAAGAGTGGCAAACCATGACATTTTCAAATTTGACTCTAGCTTGGGCGGCACTGAATGATTTGATGTGAAGAAAAGAATGGCATCAAACAACTGCTAAATGCACGCTGGTACACGACCAAAGCACAAAATATTAAGGCACACATGTAAGATGTAACGGCATCGCAAGACAAATGATGACAGTCAGCCATAGTTGTGAGCATGTTTTTTTTTGGTGCTCCATTACACCTCATACATATTTATGAACCAAATGCACCCGTCTCATTGGCTAATTTTCTGATGCATCCTGGAAGTAAAATACCTACAATTTAGACTTGTGACATAGGAATGCAGCGATAGATTAACACTTGGAGAGCCAATAATGTTGTCATTTCACTCACAAGAACACATTATTTGTGATATTTGTCACACGAACATCTTTACAACACATGACTTTCAATGTTGAGAAATTTCCTGAAATCTCAACAATGTCACCCATGATGATAAGACACTTTATATGCATGAAGTGTAAGAAGATAAGTACAGCATGGTTAACATGTTGACTGCCGACTACAAGCACACTCTTGGTAACAGGTGTACAGGATTCTGCCACTACGAGTATACTCGTAGGAAATGAAAGGCCATTACATCAGTGTGAACACAATACGCTGCTGGTTGTGTTGGGGACGCACAAGTGTAAAATGCTCATGTTCAAGTAGACATTTAACCCCTTCACTCCGGGAGACATCGACGGCCGCGACTTTGTGTAAGGATTAGTGCATACCACACGTACATTCTATTCATCATGCACCTGCAGTTTTCCATGTGGGCCTGCTGCTGGACAGGGCTTGCACACTGGGCATACCGCAGCCCAGCAGTCGCAGTTGAAAGAATCCCGGCGTTAAGGGGTTGTACCTATTAACCATGTGCGCGCATGCATACAACGCTTGGCAAATGGAATGCCCTGTGAAATTATGCGCGGCGGTCAACGTGTTAATGTCACATTGCCAGACGGGACACGCTCGTTCAACGAGCCAGGCCTGTGCTTCACAAGGGCTATGTCATTTGGGAACAAAGCAACACGAGTCGTGCCCGCTGGGACGTTTGTCAGCATGTGGGTCAAGCTTATGGTCCTCTTGATCTGCAGGCACGTATTGATGTTCTGGAATGGCGTCAAATGCATTTCACTTTGAGCATGCGCAGTCTGAATGCCAAACCCGCTCATTTTGCTGAGGAAAGTGTTATCTCAATCAATGGGTGCCGGTATATGGGGTATGTATGAGGGTTGGATAGGACAAGGTGTGTTACCATAGTAACCACTGTATTATTGGAACAAAACTGGCCAATGGCTGGGGGGGATGGAGACAGGTGCCCAAAAAGCTAATAATCTATATTTTGCCGCTTATTCTAAAACCACTAAAATGTGTATTTTCAAAGCCCGTCCCCCACTTTTTGGCATGTCGTCCCTCCCCCTTTTCAAATATTAATCCAGTGAGACAACACCAAGAGCATGCAAAGGAACAGCTACTGACTGACATAACCACACTGGAATCGGAAGAGCCAGCCAAGTCTACAAGTCAAGTAATGCCGGCTAAAATATTGCACTCCATTCTGCAATCGTAAATGTGAAACTGTCGCACTGGCAGGTTGACTTCTTCAAAAACTCCACTAAAATTTCAACTTTTTCATTTCTCTGTCCATATGATTAAAAAAATAGAATTAAGAACTATACCCATTTTACTGTACGTAATAGCAAATACATATCCAAGCAGTGACAAACTTTAACTCATACATGTCTTAATGATTATTTGATATGACTGGCACAAACACTCCCTAAAACCGGTTTTTTAAATGATGGTATGGGTCTAAGCCATACTGATTGGGGTCAAGAGTTCAGAGGTCAGTATCCAGGGTCATCCTGGACGACTAGCTCTGAGTTCAGTGTGTTTATGTCGACCAGTTCGGACATATGAGTGTAGTGTTGCTTGTCATTACGTTCTCTGGGCGGGAGCAGGAACAGCACGCCTATCGCCATGGCAACATGCCAGGCGCTGTGCACGTATTGGTAGTTGTCACTGGTCTCCAGAAAGGCGTAGAGGCAGAGACCGGTGATGATGATGGCAGTACCAGGGAGGATGAACAGCAGCCAGCGCCACTTGGTGGTTGGGTAACACCGGCGACGCTTGTACCAGCGCCTTGCCTGTGGTCCAAATACACACACAAAAAAAAGAGGACATGATGGACGTAGTTAACAATCGGCCGGGCGACGGGCCAGTTTGGTAGTTCATATTCAGTGCAGCTAGCTGCTAGGGTCGACCTTAGCTTAGATGCACATACTGAGGCTTTAAAATGGCCTAAATACAAAATATTAAACTGGCTTATCACTCTCAGATTTGATATCAACTAAATTGAGGAGGGGAACTTTTTAACTTCAGTCCTTTCAACAACTGGCCATTTTAAAGGTCATATGCACCATTTTATTCTTCTGCTGTAAGTTTAAGTAATTGATCAATTTGAGGGGCTAGGTTTTTTACAGGCACCAAAAAAAACAGAAAAAAGTGCAGACCAGGCTAATTGTTAGAAATGTCAGGAAAAGAATTATGGAAAATTTCATACATGAGCTTTAAGCTCCAAGTATATGCATAACCAGTAATAGATACAGCAAAAGACACAAAAAGTGAAGTCTTTTTAAACAAGTGTCTGACCAGACAATCGGAAACGACAGCCAAGTCTTCTCCTCTCAACAATCGCAGAGACCATTGTCTATTTTCCATCAGAGAAGCTATCAAAAAATAGTTTGGCGATGTCGTTTTTGGGATGTTTGCAAAACAGTGTCCACACTGCCCTTTAACTGCAAACTTGAGAAGTCTTCGACCCTGGTTGTTCCTCCACCAACTCACCCAGGATATAAGCAAGACGCCCATGCCTACTCCCACTGGCACGGCAGCCGCCCACAGGCTAAAACGGTTGTAAGTGGTTCCCAAGGCCAGCCCAAATGCACCTGAAACCACACAAAGATAAAATCAACTACAAATGGAAATTCCTAGGTGGATTCCACTAAATTTGTCAAACGCCTGACGGGTCAGCAATCTCGGCCCTTGTTGAACACAAGCATAAATAGTCACTTTATCGCCGAGTCATTTTAAATGCGCTTGACTTAAGCGGCAACTGTCCATCTGAGCACAGAAAAAAGCACGCTACAGAAAACTGCTCGACTTACCTAGGATCTCTAGGGAATGTCGGAGGGGCACCGGCAGCCGGGCCATGGCTATCAGCGTCAGAAAGAAGGACATGAACGCTGAGAAGAAGTCACAGAACTGCAAGGTGTTGTAGGACATGATGCAGAGGCTGTCGGCATCGCAGCTGTGGTAAAACTGAAATATAGCAAGTAAAATAATCGTGCTGTGTAATTTGTTACTGTTATCACGAAATAAAAGGCAAGTGTCACGTGGAGACAATTTGTGAAAACTCTGAACCATTTTGGTTTCCAGAACTGACTCCTGGAGGTGTGTGTGCACTGAAACCCTCACGTGCTATGCAGTAATTTTGGTTCTCAAAAAGGTAAAAATATCAAGGAAGCGACGAGAAAAACGTTGTAGGGGGTTTAACATGACCTTACATGAAACTGTTACAGACAACTGTTGCACGTTTACACATCTTTTGGCATATACTTGTTCATACAGCCTTAGAGAGCAATGCTGCTAAGCTGCACCCTTCGCCTACTTAGTGGCCATTTGAAAACCAAAACAAAACACATTGAAAAATGCAACAGTTGCCCTCACCGACGAGAAGAACAGCGTGCAGAAGAACGAGATGGCTGGGACAAAGTGGCGGCGCACCAGAGCCAGGATGAACGGGAAGATGAAGAAGAGGTTACTGAGCGTGAGCAGTAGGACTCTGGTCAGAAAGTAAGCTTGGGACCACGCCTCCGAGTCATCCGTGCATCCCCAGCCTTGGTAGCCTTGGTGAGGAGGCAATACAAAAAAAAGATACCAGTATATTTCGATGTCGGGCATTTGCCAATAAAAACAAGAGGTCGGAAAAGTTACGGGGCCTCAAACTTTGATCCCAGCAGAATCTTCCTCAAGCCTTGTCCTATTTTATATGTACATCTCTAAAAGGAATTGATATCAGAACAGCACAGAAAGGAAACTTTAGCACGTCGGAGCTGTATTGGAGGTTTTACGAGACCCACATGTTTTTTCTGTCACCACAGACATCTTTGGGAAATGACTTTTTTATTTTTTTTTTTTCGAAAATGATGGCTGGAAATAATTTTGTGGCAAACTCAGTGCCACGGCCATCTTTGAACAATGTATGCCTTTCTAAAATAATTTGGTGGGTTGATATTTGGGCTAAATGGGCCACTCTACCTTCAGCTAGAGTCCACTAAGCCATAAAGCTCAAATGATAGAGAACACGTTAAAAGCTTTAAAAGGTTAGATCTTACTGGTTATCAATCCAGCAAGATGGTGAGCACCAGCACTTCTCAGAGCCAACACCTCCTCCTGAAAAAGTCTGCTTCCTTAAAGTACCCACAAACATACCTCTCCGTGTACTACTCTGTCATGCAAAGCTTCAAACAACTATACAAAGCAAGAAATGAGACTGAGGTGTACCCCCGTACATGTCCAATCGCTACACACCATAGACTATTGTTACCTAACATATTTCCCTGGATGTCTCAAAAAATTCCTCAGATTCCAGTGAAACAATGACCAACACAAAGCGGGGGGGGGGGCATTTTCTCCATCTCATATCCTACTTCATATGCAAACAACACTTCCAGGTCTTGCTCTAACATTTGAAGTAA